TTCCCACAAATTTGATTTGCTGAATCCACTGATCGACTCTACCGTAGCGATGGCGGTTGTGGTCTCTGAACACTATGGCCGGTCTCACCAGGGACAATTTCTTTGGCCAACAGTAACAACTGTTCTTTGGCGCTTCTGGTTGGACTTAATCTAACTTCATGAAAGAAATTGGCGACTGATTATATCCGATACCGTGCAACCCCTCCCTTCTTGACGGTCGAACGTTTGTCGCCAGCAGTTTTTTCCTCCTGAACCCTCCGAAACATAAAAACCACCATCAACTTTATTTTTATTCCTTTTCCACAGGAGTTTTTTTTTTCAATGCTGGTTGAATTTGTGTTTAACGCTTCCCTGACAATGCCTGTAAACTGGCATTAAATAAAAATAAAATTCTTATAATTTTACCTTGAGAAGTGCATCGCACTGCGACCTAAAACGGAGGAAAGTGAAGATGGAGCAGATCACAAATGCCTCCCTAGCGGGAGGTGCTTTTTAAGTGTGGCCGGTCAAAAAGTCTTCGGGATCAACATTTCGTCGTCTATTAAGCTCTCCTCTCAATGCGCTAGGGCGGTCAAAAGAGCAACCGGTGTTCTCTTTGCCATTAAACGAGTTTTCATGGATATAGACAAAGGGTTATTTGGAGAAGTATACGGAGCGTTTATCTGTTCGCGACTGGAATATGGAATCCAAGCATGCACCTGTTATGACCTGCCTGGTACTTGAAATCCTGTGGAGCGTATGCGCACTCGACCCTTGTCCCCAATACCAACGCGGCAGAGAAGGAGAACGCGACCGGCCACGAAAATGGGTATTAGGAAATTGCAAGTCAAAATTAACTGGAAGTAACGCATATTTATAACGCCCTAATGTGCTTCTCCGGCTTTCGACCCAATGCCCTTCGGGAAGAACATTCGAGACGAGCCGGTCGATAATTCGAATATGCTAATCGATCAGGCCCGAGAGGCAAAGCCAATGCAGAGGCGCCACGATTAAGATGACAGCGCAGGAGAGAAAACGCACATGGCCTCCCGTGATTGGCTGGCTCTTGTTTTTGGAATTGTAGGCACTCCCAACAGCACCCGTGGCTGAAAAGGCTATAAGTTGCTGGAAAGAGTTCAGAGGAGAGTGGCCAAAATTGTGGAAGGACTCACGACTTTACCTTTTAACTGCAGATTTAATAAGCTTAACCTATTTCCTCTTGAGTACAGGCAGATCCGAGGAGATCTTTTACAGACGTATCGGATTGTGAGGAACGGGGACTGTGCCCTACACCTCGAGGATTTTTTCACCTTTGCCACAACAACAAACCAGCGTTGGAACTCTCTAAAATTCAGAGGATCCCGAGCCACCTGGACATTCGAAGGCCCTCTTTTACACAGCGAGTCTCAGCTACCTGGAATGGGTTTCCCGATACTAAACGCTTGTCCTCCCGTAGCAAAAATCCACCAATCTTAGTTAAATTTTTTTCATCAGTCGAGATCGACAAAATATTTGTCCATCGATATCGTGTCTCTGAGTACCTGGAAAATGCAAAATTTTTCCTATGTCATGATCTTACTCCAATGGAACGTATGATCAAGTATCTCTTCTCACGTAAACCCACTGTTTCTCAGTCTAATGCTCACTAAAACGGTCATAATACAAGTGGCCGTGAGAATTCTGCCTGTCCTACTCCGGCAAAATCTGACTCCCTCCTACCCATTACTCCTACATCTCCATATCACTCTGGCCACTTGACGCATTTGCCTGCCCTTAAACTAGTAGCAGCAACTGTCCAAATGTCGTTTCGTACCCTCCAGATAGCCCCGCTGGGACACATGAAAATCCGTGTACATCAGCTAGACCGATAACTTCACCTAGTCAACTGAGTGTTGCAAGGTCTACAGTTAAGTCACCCGTGGCTTGGCGTCAGAACATGAAACTCCAAAATTGAGCCAGACTCCGACCCAAAAGATAGTACAGTTCCATTTCGAGGTACGCCGCCTTCTCTTAGATCTACCAAGTCTTTTCGGCCTAGCTTGTTTACAAATCCCGCAGCTCCAATTATATCCTCAAATAATTCTCTGTCCTGCGTACTGGTTATTTATTAAAGCCCCACTATATATCCAGCAAATAATTCATACGTGAATCGCCCTAAGTCATTTATGCCTCAACCTAGCTTAGGCTTCCCACAACTTAAGGCCGTTTGCTCTCAGGTAAGTTGATAGTTGCATTCTCGGATCGGAATCGCACCCGCCCCTTGGCCGAAGTGACCATTGCGTTCTGGTTTGGGAGTATAGTCATTTTTCAGTACCCGAAATTCGAGCTGCTGAGGAAAGAAACGTATGGAAGGGGGATTTTACCCGAATGAAAAACCTGTTACAGAAGGTGAACTGGAATGCAGCACAAGGACCTGACCCAGAAAGCGATTGGCTCTTCTTCAAGAACATAATGCAGCACTTAGTAGAGAGCTGTTGCCCACTGAAGAGGAAGCCGCGCACATCCCGACCAGAGTGGGTGACGTCAGGAATAAAGAAGAATCTTAAATTGAAAAGGAGACTTTGGAAAAAGTACGCAAGTTTTCAACAACCAGAGCATTTGGCTGACTTCAAAAACAGAGGAATTTATGTCGGAATCTGTTGAGGAGACAACGGGCACAATTTGAGTCAACACTTTTAAAAAATATCCCGCAAAATTCAAAAAAATTCTTTGGATACGTGAATAAAGCAAAACGCAACCGGGACTGCATTCCCTGCCTAAAAGATTGCCAGGGAAATACGTTGTCTGACAACTCAGATAAGGCGAATCTGTTATCCGACTTCTTCACGTCTGTGTACACTTAGGAGCCGGCTTTTGATGAAAGAGTTTACCCCCCAAATGTCAAATCCAACAGTACAATTAGCACGGTTGACTTCACAACAGACACGGTAAGGAAAACTTTGAGGCAACTACAGCCCACTAAATCCCCTGGTCCGGACGGCGTGTTCGCGAAAGTTCTGAATGAGCTCTCAGACCAACTGGCCTCTCCGTTATCCAAGATCTTCAAAACAT